GAAATACGTCGAAATATTGGAGGAAGGACTCTTGCCACTTTATTCCTCGGGTTTCATGGACAAGGACACAACATTGTTCAACACTACTAGAAACACCCAAAAGTGGCAGGAAGAAAATGGTATCCAGAAGTTGCCATGGCCGAGCCAATCTGACATGAACCCCATCGAAAACCTCTGGGCCATACTTGACCGGCAAGTCAAGAAACAACCAAAAAACCAACTTCGAAGAGCGATGTACTCCAAGTTTGAAGCAAGAGTGGGAGAAAATCCCACAATCTAAAATTGATGAGATGATTCTTACGATGCCCCTAAGGATCAACAAACTCCACGAAGTGAAAGGAAGATCTACTAGATATTAATTAAATTATAAATATATCAATTCACATGAATATGACTGAAAAATTTCATTTTTTCTGAAAAGGTGGTGTCTATTTACTTGTGACCACACTGTGTATATATGTTAATATATGTTTTAATTTAACATTCATGTACTGTTTGGATGCTGATATGTCAAAGAAGAATGAATGACATTGTTTTACCCAAAATCACCTTTTTGAAATATAAAAACTGAACTTTCATCACGAAACTAAAATTAAACATTAGTGGTTTTCTAATCAGGAATGCTTAATGTAAAAGTACTGTAATTAATATCACAAAGAAGCATGCTATGTTCAGAAAACCAGACTGTATATTTATGTAAGTGGAATTAAATGTATATTCCTAATTCATTTTTTTATGGTTACAAAAAAATATAAATGATTGTATATTAAGCATGATTTATAATTAGTACTTTTAATTCCTGTTTGTCAATGAACGCCTCCCACAGTTTGAAGATTGCATGATTGGATTCCAGGAGGCAGTTTTCAGGGTCATTTTACCCAAATCTGGTATCAGTTTTTGTGTTCCTGGCCAGAGAGTACCACATTTGAAACTGTGTCTTATTCCCCAGGGGGCAGAACCAAACATAGTACATGTGCACATGTATTTTGGACAGGTTTCTTTTTTTTTTTTTTGAGGGGGGGGTTAAATCCTTATTAGGGTAGCTACATAAGTCATTGGAAATAGTAGAGGAGCTTTGTTGCCTCTGTGAATCAAGAATGGGTTCTTGACCCCCACAGTATAACCCAGGTTTTTTATGCTAAGAATAGAAGCTGATTTTTACACTGTTCACTAATTGTTCTAATCTTGGTTACATTTTATCTTGTAATCTTTGAGATTTTTCTTTAAAGTTTAAACTTTTTGTTAACAACATAGTTTATTTAATTTGATACACAACTTTATCCAAGACCAATTTACTTATTTTTCCAATGAATAGTTCATAGTTGCATCTTCTACAATCAGCACAGTAATTTTATTTAGAAAAATGCACTTATTTACACATTTATTTGTTATGGTAATTAGCTCTTTTGCTACAGGCATCTTTTTCTGTACATGTCATGAGGTTTTAGTGAGTTATATTCAAAATTCCTTGTCATGGTGTACGAATAAATTATAAAAACAAAGCTAATAATCTAAATTTTAATAGTATATAAGTTTTAAATTCATAATTTTACATGATAATATTAAAAAAAAATCCTAAATTTCCCCTAGTATGATAAATCTGATATTTTCTCGCTAGGAATCCCCTCTTCTCTACAATCCTATTTAGTTACAGACCCCTCTTGCCACACCCACCTGTCACATCTTCTCTTTCAGAAATTGCCAATAGCTGTCTCTGACGTTTAATACTATATTACTTACTACCAATAGAAAACCAAGGTTTAAATGTATCAAATGATGTATTACATTACACTATTTTCTGTACAGAGAATTGTCTATTTCATTTCCAGTTCAAACTTTATTCCTACAGGTAACACATCAGTGAATTTAACTGAATTTGTAATAGCTCTTGTTTTATAGTTAGAAAGCCAGAAAAATTGGGATAGTTATGGGAAATTGTCTTATTTTTGTATGTAATTATTCTGTGTTCTTTGGTGCATTATTTATTTAAATAAAAAAATTATTTAGTGCAGTAGTACTATTACTATAAAAAACAAAAGTAGGGTTAAGTGTCATCAAAAGTCAACAGCAAAAATAAGACCTAGTTAAGTACTTTATTTCTTGTTTTTCATGTGTATTCTCTGTTAAGTATCATAACAGTAACAAAAATGTAAAAATTAGAAACTTTTTAGGTTAGATTAGGTAAAATAAAGAATAATAATAATAAAAGATTTTTTCATGACTGACACTTGAAAATAGCTTGTGCGTTATTTAATTCTATAGGGTAATGTGAGCTACACATTTGCTAAGTGATTTACAAAATATAATTAAAATGGTTCATGAGGTACGCATGCGAGCAGCTCTTGGGTAATGTAATTTGATAGCGTAATGTGAGCTGCATGTTCCTTGAGTGCTTTTGAACTTATAATGGCCTGGATAGTAGTTAGACACTATTCAAAGAGCAATAAAACAATATAAATTAAGTATAAGCAAATGTATACTGTTACAAATTTAAAGCTGTTTAGGATAAACAAGTGTAGTTTCATGTTACAATTTGAATTCATTCTGAAAATAAAAAATGGGTAATTTAAATATTTTTTTGGTGGTTACAAGGTCAGTCAAATTGATAAACCTCATATGGAGTTAGGGTAGAGAAAATAACAAAAGTAAAAGGTTTCACTGAAAATAAAAACGTTTGAAATTTATTTGGGAGGTTTTAGGGATTATACAAGTGAAATTTGAGATTTTTCAGATGAAGAAAAGTATTTTTAATCTTAACATGAAATTAACTTTGCACTTTGACTCCATGTAGTCATGGAGAAATATTTAGTGAAAATACTTTATTAAAAATTATGTTTTTTTTTAATTGTTGTTTACAAATTACTTAATAATTACTGAAAGGTTGGAATTCGTGAAGATACACAAAACATGTTAGAAGTTGTAGTATGGAAACTATAAAGGTCAATTTGGGATTATGAACAAGGTGTATTTGACCAAGCCCACAGTGAGAGAGTTAAAGAAAAAAACATTGATACACAGTAAAATAAACCGATTGTGCTAATATATATATATATATATATATATATATATACACATACATACACATCTACCTAAAAATAATCTAACAAAAAAAATCATTTGAGAAAACTAAACATGCAAGATGGGCAACAAAACTAACCTTTTAAAAGTGGGTGCCAGTAATGTCACTTCCTAACTTATGTGCAGTTAACTCTAAATATGCATAAAAGTGAGCTTTTGTTCATTTGTATCTGATGATGGTAAAAGTAACGAGTGTGTTGCTATTGAATTCAACACACTGAGCTTTTCTTAAATATTCATCATTTCTATTCATATGTAAAGTGGAGCAAATATCTGTGGCAGTCAGTTTGAATATGATTTGCTGCTCAGGAGATAATTTGCCACATGTTCTTAAATTGTTTCCTGTAGCATTTCTAGAGTTACAATAATAGTAATAATATTTTTTTTTTAATTCTGTTTTTAAATGACTTGTAATTTAAGAAATGTGAATAGTTTTAAGATGTGCATCTAAAATTATGACATACCTCAACTCCACAGTATCCCTACGGTTACATCCTGCCACAATGTAAACCTGTAGGATTGAATTATGAAAATTATTGAAAATAAATTTCAAAGTTGAAATAGTGGCGGTATGGCATTTCATCTAAAAAAAAAGTAAAGGTATGCCGTGCCCACATGTTCTCATCCCACTACACCTCTGAACCTCACATATAAAACAAGATATTTTATTTTGTAGAAGTTATATAATATGTTGAAAGTTCATTTCAAGTTCCGAGCTCTTCCATTCTGAAGTTTTTTTGTAGTGCAGTGGAACAAAACATATAACATGTACATCAATTCAACATACCTGGTCTTTATTTGTAAAATGGAAGTTTCAGTGTATGTAATAGTGTCCAGATAAATGTATTCAAACAATATATGTAATACGTAGTTTCCTCCCCATCTTTTTGAAAAGTATATAATTGTTGAATTATGGCTATCTAATACATACTTTGTGCTGAACAGTTCCAGATAAATGTATTCAAGCAATATATGTAATACGTAGTTTCCTCCCCATCTTTTTGAAAAGTATATAATTGTTGAATTATGGCTATCTAATACATACTTTGTGCTGAACAGTTCCAGACATTTTACTTTAAGCAAAGTGTATCTAAAAGTAGACAGATAGATGTATTTAAACAATATGTTTAATATGTAGTTTTATTTTGTAAATGAACACATTTTTAATGAAGTGAAGTACTTTTTTTAAGCTAAAGTGTTATAATTTTACTTTACAGAACAATGTGATTTTTTAATACAGTAGAATTACTTAATTTTTTAAAACCTGTTAAATATTTAAGTTATAATGAATGGTCATTATTACCAGCGCTGAAAGAACTGTGGGGAACTGTTGAAGCTGTGTGTGTGTTAAGAAGGGGGAATGGTCATTACTACCAGCACTGAAAGAACTGTGGGGAACTGTTGAAGCTGTGTGTGTTAAGAAGGGGGAATGGTCATTATTACCAGCACTGAAAGAACTGTGGGGAACTGTTGCAGCTGTGTGTGTTAAGAGGGGGAATGGTCATTATTACCAGCACTGAAAGAATTGTTGAGAACTGTTGCAGCTGTGTGTGTTAAGAGGGGGAATGGTCATTACTACCAGCACTGAAAGAACTGTGGGGAACTGTTGAAGCTGTGTGTGTTAAGAAGGGGGAATGGTCATTATAACCAGCACTGAAAGAATTGTTGAGAACTGTTGCAGCTGTGTGTGTTAAGAAGGGGGAATGGTCATTATACCAGCACTGAAAGAACTCTGGGGAACTGTTGCTGCTATTATATACTTAGGCATTACATATTTTTTATAGTTGGATGTAGTTTAAACTGACCAGGTGCACATCAAAATTGTATTTACTGATTCATTATATACTGTGACACTGTTTTATACAAATAATTGTGGTTGAACCTTATCCTGAATACTTTACATCTTACTAAGTTACAGAACTAGTATTAGTCTAGTCTGGAATGACCATTTATTTTAAAAATGATGCTTAATGACTTCTGAATATAATATGAATTTATTCTCAATGTTTATAGACACAATATCTCAAATCTGCATCCTACAGCAAAGAAGCTTATAGCTATTCCTTTACTGGGTTAGGCATTGTTACTGAGGGATATTTTATCTGTTAGTTCAAGTTTCCAAGACTGTTAAAGCTTTAGTGTAACTGTGGCACTCGTCTGTTTCACTTACTATTAATGTGAGCATAAAACATTAAGCCTACACAATATTTTGTATTATTAAAAATATTTTTTTTATCAACATTTACAAAATGTGTTTTTTGAAAGGGTGAACTAAGCATATTTGTATGACTTTTAAGGTAGATTAAATTTATGTTTTTATAAGTGCTCTGGTCTTTCATGGTAAGATTGATTATATTGTAGCTGTTCAAGTTCTTTCATGATATTATTTTATCTGAGGTATCTTAGCAATTAACTTAGAAATCAGAAGTTGTGAACCATATATATATATTTTGTAACAAATTATGAATTTTCTTTGGTATTAATTTATAAGGGTCAATTCATTCCTTATACAAAAAAAAAAAACAAAAACTTTTGCATATTAATGTGCATACAAATAAAGTTTTGTGACAGGTTTTATGGGGTCTAGTTAAAATTAATTGTTTATTCAGTCATTTATTGTTCTTGGGGTCAGTTCTGGAATCACCCTTCTTATAATTCCATGGGGGTGTCACAACTATAACATATATAACGAATCACTGTGTTTATAACTTGTATGGGGGGATAACACAAACATAACATGTATGATTAATCACCATGTTGTCATGTTCATGGGGATAATACCACCATGGCATGTACAACAAATCACCATGTAATGTAATTATTTCTCTTGCTTGATTCCCTCATTTAATTTTGATCTAAAACAAGAACCAAACTGTAATGTATGTCTTGGGCTTATTCCACATTCTAGTTTGTAGGTAATTAGAAAAAGTATTATTAGAAATTAAAATACTTGGGTGGTCAAGTGCCAAGTTTTTAAAATTGTTAGTTAATTGTTGAAAATGAATTCATTTTCAATGGCATTTGTTTTTTTCAGTGCCCACAAAACCAGGGAGATTTCAAGAAGATAGCTTTACTTTTCATTTAACCCCCCAGCAAGCCCATGATATAGCAATGTCACGGTAGGTTTCCTGTTATGTTTCTTCATCATAAGCTTCTTATATAGCAGTGTCTGAATAGTTTTTATAACATCACTCCAAGCCCAAAGTTAAGCAATTCTGTAAAAAAAACAAGAGGAAATCCTCAATAGCTGTGGCTGTAATTAGATCTCATATTGGTCAAGAGATGGAACTATGAGCTAATAGTGTGTACTTGAAAAAAAACCCAGAGCCATTCTATGAGCCACCATGCCACGGCTAAAAAGAAAATGTAGTTATCTGTATAGGCAACAAAAGACAGAAATTGATGAATAGGTTACAAAATTTCCAAGCTTTATATATTTCTACATCTAGAAGATGATGTTTTGAATTAGCATTCTTCATCAGATCATAAAGTTTAAAACAAAAATGCATGTTAAGAATGTGGAAATTGTGTGAACAATTTAAATGTCGAGTTACAAAATTCTTTGAAAATTACAAATTTCACATGAATATCATAGAAATCATAGTACAATTCAAAGAAAAGGAAAAAAAGATAAGAAAAATACAAGATGAAATTGAAACAGTATGGAAAGATGAAATTCTATAAGAAAGAAAACTGTTAATTTAAACCAGGTGGCTGTAGGGTTCCCGGATTGTAGATTAATTTCCTTTCTAGTCGTCATCTTTTGCAAATGTCTGTTGTAGCATGTATAAGTCCCAGAATCAAAAAGTTTTCGATTATGTACTTGTAATTGTTAAAATGTTTTCCTATACATTTATCTTGGTTCTGCAGTTTAATATGACTCAGATGTTCATGTGCTTGATTACTGAGTCAGTGGCCTGTGTGTCCAGTGTATAAACTACTGCACTTTATACAAATTATACAATAAACGATACATTCAGTTGTGTACTTGAAGGATTGTCTTATGTTGAAATTAACATATTTTTCTTGTATATCTGTTGTTGTTTAAGAGTGCTGTATCCAGAGATTCCTCTTAGGTATGGGTCACGTCAGTTAACTATAATAGGTGGATTCTTGAAAATACATTTAACAGTTGGTTCTTCTGTAAATGTTATGTAAATGTTTAGTCTTTGTTCTTTTTGTTTTGATGTTTAGCACAAGTGTGTTCTTTTTTGATAAGGTGAAGAATTTTTACTTAAGTATATGAACTAACTTTGGTGGCTGCATCATGGATGAGAGAATCACGATAGCCTCTTTTGAAAAAAAAGTTTTCATGTCTTTTGTTTTTGTTTGTAATCATTATCATCACTACATAGCTTGCTTTGTTGTGGAAAGTGTTTGTGTGACCTTGACATTTTGTTACTGTACCAGTGGAAAGGTTGAGGAAGTAAGTATGTCTGTGAATCTGTTTCTTTATAATGTATACGAATGGTCAAGTGGTATGCATATGTTAATGTCGAGAAAGGGCAGTGTTGTGTCTGATAGAGCTGGGGGAATTAAACAATGTAATAAATTACTTAGGTACAATGATTACATTGCATTTATGGAATTTTATTTAAGACCTTTGTAATTTACCATACATTAATTCAATTTAATTTAGGTATCTGAATCATATCAAATAATTAATTAGGTGCAGTGTCCTAACATTATTCACATACCTTGTGATTTTAGGGTCTAAGATTGTATTCTCATTGGCATGAACTTGTTTGCCCTGTCTTTGTTATTTCAAAGCTATTAAGGCCAGTTGCCATTGTCCCTAAATTGGAACAAGTCTACCCACTGCCAAATCTCCAAATACTTAAGCAGGCCTGTTTACTTTCCCAATTTTGGCAGGATATTCCCGACATGAAGTCCTGTTTCCAGATCTCCCGACACACGACCAGGATCTACTGATATCAACCTTTTTAATAATTTAACAAAAAGAATAGTCGCAAAATCCAACTTCACAGAATGCCAACCAGGATAAAGTAAATATTTACTCATTTTGTGTAACATTGTTATACTTTGTTGTGTTATACTGTCTGCTTGTTGTACCACATTCCAATGCATTGAGTGAAAGGACATTTTCAATGGTGAGAAATATCGTAACAGGAACAGAACTGATTTAGGGCATGAGACAGTATATGCACTTTTAAACTGCAAGTTTAACTCAGATTCCTCAGCCAGTAAATTCAAGCCCAGCAAACAGGTATTGAAAGATGCCATAAGTGCAGCATACATATATGACAAAGAACACTAATCAGGATATGTTTATTTTTTTTTCTATTCTTATAGTAAAAGTATATAACAATATTAGCAGATGAGTGTGATTATCTTAGTAGATAGCCCACCCTAAATGAAAACATCATTTCAATCTTATAGGCGTAAATAAATGTCTGAAGTTACCCAGAATTCATAAAAGTGCACCTATTTTTTCTAAATTTTCTGATGGAGCATGCTCCCCCCCCCATCAGGGGGACAATATTTTGTTGTCTCCACAAAAATTCTCTTGATTTGGCACCTCTCAGTGTTGACAGGTATACTTAAGTGTTAAATAAAGTGTAAGTTTATTGTTATTTTTAAATTGTCTTATGTTCCTAATTTATAATTGATAACCATATTCTTTAATGTTGTATGAACAGGTGCAAATCTTGGGGTTGTGGAACCCCATTGTTTTATGATATAGTAACAATTCTTTAACACATTCACTGCCACTGGATATTTTCAATATTAATTCTAAATACAGAGGATGCTTAGTGTAGAAATGGCTCTAAATATGGTTTTGGCATTTATGCAATCCCTAATATGTCATCATTGTTTAGGCAATACATTATGGGTACTGATCCATTGTAATGACCAAGCATGAAATTATTGATGTATCCAACAAAGAGATTGGAGAAGATGGGATCCATTTTTATACCCATAGTGACCCCTTAGATCTGTGTGTAGTAGTTACTTTAGAAAGTGAAGGCATTAAGTGTGAGTACAACTTCTGCTAAAAGTAAAAGTACGTGTTTTGAAGGATCAAGAATGTGCCTTTGTGTAAGAAACGTTGAAACCTTCACCGTATAGGATAGATGTGGTTTCATATCTGAGATAATAGCCACATCATCATGTTGCTTTTAAAATAGCAGGGTTCTCACTTGGATCCCACAGTGAAGGGTCCCAGACTCTCCATTTTTTTATTCAAGAGCCCCAGTGAGATTTTTAAGGGTCTCAAACTAATTTTCAAGGGTTCAACAGGTACAATTTAATAAACTCAAAAGAAAAGGAAAAAAGCACTTCAGTGTCAGTGAAAAACTTTATTTAATGTATGCTACATGTTTACCTTCTGTAAGTGGAAAAGAACTTGTTAATGTTCAATGAAAAACTTTATTAACAATTTACACTGCATGTTGTTTCCCTTTAATAGTTTATGAGTGCAAAGAAATTTTCATGATAATTTTAAAAATACTTTTCTTCATCTGAAAATTTTCAAATATTATTTGCATAACCCTAAAACCTCCTAAATAAATATGAAATGTTTTTTTGTTGTTTTTTTTCAGAAAAACTTTATATTTTATATGTTATTTTCTTTACCCTAACTCTATATGAGGTCGGTTGATTTAACTGACCTTATAACCACTATAAAAAATTAGGAAATATTTATAAATTCCCCTGTTTTCTTTCTGGAATGAATGCAAATTGTAACAGAAAACCACAATTTGTATCCTAAGTAGCTTCAAGCTCGTAACAGTATAAATTTCTTTATACTTAAATTTTATTGCCATTTGAACCATGTCTAACTACCATATAAATTGCAAATTATGTGGCAAACATGCAGTTCACATTACGATATTGAATTACATATCGCATAAACTACTCATGAATATACTTCATAAAAAAAATTTTATATTTGATATTCATTATACTTTACCTAACCTAAAAAGATTTCAATTTTACATTTTAATTACTTTTATAATAATAAATAATACACATGCTCTTGAGTGTTGAGGAAACTTAACCCTACTTTTTATACTAATTATACTACTGCATTAAATAATTTCTCTTTAATTAAATAATGCACCAAAGAACACAAAATAATCACATACAAAAAGGAAACAAGTTTAGAAGTTTATTGTGGACAGCTGTGTGCAAACTGTATGCTCTTTTGTTTGTTATGGTACAAAGTTTGAAGCAAAGTACTTGTGCTTGCCTTACATAGGGGCATTTTGTGGTGCATATTCTGTACCCACGGGGTCAAATCTCATGCATCTTGACAAATTATCGTGTGTGGGACTCGGGACTGTGGGTTATCTAGAACCCTGAATAGTTGAAGGATTCTGTGCCCCTATTATGTGATGTCACTTCCCTAAGTTTGTAAGTTTATACAGACTTTTTCAGTTAAATGTATTTTGTAGCATGGTAGTTGACTCAAGGAAATTTTGTACATATGATTTTTCATTAATAAGTAATGGTACATTGGAATAATTATTTAGTGTTTTTGAAATGCCTACTAACCATTTATTGTTGCACTGTTTGGTACAATAACAATAGTGTAATTATTACTCGTTTGGAAGTTAAAGTTAATTACTTTAATAACAATAGTGTAATTATTACTGGTTTGGAAGTTAAAGTGAATTACTTTAATAACAGTAATGTAATTATTACTGGTTTGGAAGTTAAAGTGAATTACTTTAATAACAGTAATGTAATTATTACTGGTTTGGAAGTTAAAGTGAATTACTTTAATAAAAATAGTGTAATTATTACTGGTTTGGAGGTTAAAATGAATTACTTTAATAACAATAATGTAATTATTACTGGTTAAAGTGGATTACTTCAATAACAATAGTGTAATTATTACTGGTTTGGAGGTTAAAGTGAATTACTTTAATAACAATAGTGTAATTATTACTGGTTTGACAGTTAAAGTGAATTACCTTAATAACAATAGTGTAATTATTACTGGTTAAAGTGAATTACTTTAATAACAATAGTGTAATTGTTACTGGTTAAAGTGAATTACTTTAATAACAGTAGTGTAATTATTACTGGTTAAATTGAATTACTTTAATAACAATAGTGTAATTATTACTGGTTTGACAGTTAAAGTGAATTACTTTAATAACAGTAGTGTAATTATTACTGGTTTGACAGTTAAAGTGAATTACTTTAATTTTTATGAAAGCAATAATCATGTGTAACTAATGTAGTAGCCTCTTATGTAAAATATAACAATAGAAAGGACTGGAGCAAAGCTTTATGAGCTTAGTGGTTTGGAAATGTTTCTATGGTTTCAAATAAGAATTCTGACTTAGTAAGTAAGTGATTATCTTTTCATATGCCTGTAAATGATCATGATGTAATCTAGAATTTTTATGCAGTAAGTAGAAATAATGGTGCTAATATATGTACGAGAATCAAAGAAGTAGTGAACAGTTAATGAATTAATGAGTATTCGATGAGTGAGTTCAGTTCAGTTCCAGTCAGTGAGTTATTCATTTCTGTGATCCAGTTAGCAAGTTCTAAAGTGAGAGTTATTGCATCTGTTTGTCTGTGATGTAATTAACAATGAGTTAGCTAAGGTATTCAGCTGATGAATTATACAAGTACATTAGGCCTACAAGTGAATATAGCCTTCAGCAAACGTTATTCAAAAAAATATTAATTTGTTATCGTTTTGTGGAATGGACTTGGAATTATTTTTACCAAATAATCAAAAGAAGCTGCTCAATGATAGAATACATTACAATATTATAAACTGTGTTTTCTTTGGAATGATTGAAGAGAGAAATTGTGTGTTGTTTCTTGTAGAAATCATAATATTTTGTATTTGTTGGCTTAGACCTTTCATTGCTAATTGAGGCAAGAACTTTCACATTGTAATATTGTGTTTTAGAATGCTTGGAATTTTGGATCATAGTTCTGAAGATTAATAAATGATTCCAGAGTATGGTATTTATATCATAAACACAACAATTTAGCCATAAAAATTTTACAATCTACAAAGTTGCTGCAAAAATCAAAATTTAAATCTGGCTTCTTATCTGTAAAATTTGTACTTTAATATAGATATTAATATACCTTTTTTGTTATAAATGTTTAACTTTATTTAACAATGACAGTTATTTCTTCAAGACTATGCAATCTAGGGTTAGGCCTAGGCTACTATCATTAGGACTTGGCCCTTCAGAGCCAGAGAGAGATTTGATTGATATGTTTGTTTTGTCTGTTATCTTTCTAAATGAATATCTTGTTTAGAGTAATGTCTGAAGATTTTTGATAGTCTTAAAGATAGAATTCACTTTTAGAATTCAAATAACACAAATGTTGAAAAAGTCCACTAGCTCAATTTTTCATTACCAGAGGCTGGTTCACTAAACTGTCACAGACCACCAAAACACAAGTACAGTGAAAAACTAGCAAAGTTGTTGTGATGGACTGGTGGTTGAGAAACACTGCACTAGATGACACCATCTAAAAGATTTTGTCAAATATTTATTTAATTGGATTATGACCTGATTTTATAGTCCGATCCTGAAGCTAGTTTATTTGTTCAATGATGTTCTAGCTTGGAATAACACATCAACTAGCTCAGTGCATAGTTCTATTAATGTTTAATCTTCACGTATTAAGGAAATGCTCTATATAAAACAAATAACTTATTTCTTACAGTTACTGTGGTATGTATTTTACACTTCTTTTTTTAGGTTAGGTTTATACTTATTTAATTTCAGACTTTTGTGATAAGTACTTTAAGATCAGCAGTTAGGCTACATGCAGATACTAATGATGTTAATAAGCTTTTGTTGTTACAAATCTGATATACACATAATCGTATTGTTTCAAAAAGAAAAGTAATTTACTGAGCCTTATGTAAAGTATTTCACTTCATTGAAACTTCATGGAAACAAAAACATATAGACAATAGGATAGCAGTAAAACAAATATGGATCAGTGGACTTGTAGGACTTGTACAGGAGAATAACATTGCTTTTAGTTACCTAAGAGAACTTTCTATAATGATTTTAGAACTCAAAGGTGTTATAGGTGTCATTATATTTTTTGCTTTTCACATCACTTATTTAGAAACTGTTTTGTTTGTTAACATTCAGAAATATTGAGCATCTTTCCAAGCAAGTAAGGTAACACAAGCCTGCAAAATTAAACTTTATAAAAGTTGTTTTGATTTTAATAATGGATTTTCCATAATTCAGCTACACAAATTTCGAAAATAATATAAATTTTTTTTTCTATCACATAAGGATTTTTTACAAATTGGGAAGAAAATCTCTTACTTAGATCAAATTATTATTTAGTTTATAACAATGAACATTTTTTATTATTATGTTTGCTAACAAACATATAAATAAACTGAAGAAAATGGAAGAACATTAATGTTATGGAATATACATCCTCATTCATCCTGATTTCTTTTGTGAAATCTACGTCTTTTAGTCTCAAAACTTTCTTTTATGTATTGCATCTGGAGCATCTTGTTTCAATGACAAGTAGTAATCAGTCATCATGCTGATGTTCCAACTTCCCTGATACCTCCGCTCCATTTCCCTGATGTCTTGATGAAACCTTTCTTTGCTGACGACACCAAAATTTTCAGGGAAATATTCAAAATGTGATGTGATAAATGAACTTTCAAGCTCATATTACAACCCAACTCTTTGAATTTATTGAGCATGTTATTGACAATATTTTTGTAATTTAGGTCTTTGTTGTTTCTTAAGAATTTGTCATTAACATCTTTAAAGGCAATCTATGCTTCTTTTTTCAACTTTCTTCATTGTCCTTTCGAACTGTTCAACTGAAGTTAATTTCCTAATCTGAGGCCCAACAAAAATCCCTTCTTAAAGTTTAGCTTCTGAAAGAGCTGGGAATTGCCCACATAGATACTTGAAGCAGTTGTCATATTTGTTTAAGACCTTTACAAACTGCTTTATCAAGCCCAAATTATTAGGTTCACCTCATGTGAAAAGTTGTGGTTCACCAGACATTTCAGGTTGAAAGCAATCATTATCATCATTTCTATTGATATCAGATTCATAATCAGATGAAACTGCATCAAGAGTCTCCAGTGAAGTGGTACAGTTACGTCACATCCATGAGCAACAGGTCTTATAGCGGATTGAAGGTGAATATAGTTTTAGTTCCAGTGTTGTAGCCTTGCACATTACATGAGCAAAAATAGCAGTAATCTCTGTGGTTTCTAAGCTCAAGCCAGACCATTGGAATTCCAAAAGGCAAAGACTTTTTCTTACCTTTAGTCCATTGTCTCAACTCTTCAACACAAATGGTGTAAACTTTCTGCTTAGCCTATGATTTGTCTTGATCCCCAAGTTTTATTCCAAAATATGCATAATGTGCTTTTATGATGACTTCTGTAATGTTTTAACCTTGTTTCTTTACAAAAAATTTACTACAAATATAACAGAATATTGTTATGACAGCGGAAGTCACGTGACGCTGGGAGCATGCATGCTGGAGTTTTTATCATGAATTATCAAGGAACCTCGCGAATGTCCAACTGTTTGCCAGGCGCCCTTTTTTTAGTATATAAGCTCGGCAAATAAAGCCAGCAATAGAGAGATATACAGATAGATTG